CACGTGATCAAAATGTCTTACCTGGGGGTGGGGGAGTAAGTGCTACTATTAAAATGATATTAGCTAATATATGTCAGCACCCTAATACTCCGCACTTTTTTTGTATCAAAATTTTTATGGAGAAAAGAACTATTAATATTAATTATTTATATATTAATACATTAATACGAATTTTTTTGCACTAATTTTTAGTTCCACGAATTTTTGGTGACTACTAAACTATATTTAATTTTTACAAACCTGGGATCGCTGGACGTACAATGCTAAAAATATTCAAACGTACACCAATCGAGTGTTTCTAAATCAACGTTCCAAAAAAGATAGTCAATCGCCATTAATTCAAGTGATAAAACACCAGAAAAGATAAATTATGAACTTCGTTTTACCATGAATCGTAGATTATCATGGTGAGTGAATTCTACCTATGTACTTGAAATTAAGGCTGAGAAAGAGATGTGCTGCTGGCTCTTGACCCAGGAACGAGAACTTTCATGGCCAAAATGGTGAGATTATAGAATGTGTTAGGGCTTAAACCCAAGACACCTTATTGTAGGGCTGTCTTGTAAGAAATTAATAATTTTTGTGTAATTAATGTTGTTTGTTTCTCTACAAAAAATAAACAAATTTAAACAAATTTAGAAATTTTTTTAAATTATTAAATTAACGTTTATTTATCATTTCCTTATTTATAAAAATAATAAATTATTAAATCAAATATTAATAAATAATATAAAGTTTCTTTTCTTTTTGTTAGAAAAAAAACTATCGATTTTATTTTTTAAAAAAAAAAAAGGGATTTTTCACATCCTTACATAATAATAACAATCACATTTTTAGTTAATAATAATATATTAAATTTATTAAATAATGAATGTTGGCGATGCTAGGTTGATTCGCACATTGATAAGTAGAATACATTCAAAGGTTTGTTGAATGTTCCATTTTTTGATTTGAATCGCCGTATTACTCAATTAAAATATATCGAAACAAGTGCTAAATTCCTAATAACATATTAATAATTAAGTTACCTATTACAAGCGGAAGAAATTTAGATGAATTAGAATCAGATCCAATAATTCTAGCAACTGTTAATGCTATTATTGAATTATCACGATTAAGACTTCATATAATAGTAAATAATTTAACCCGTATTTTGGATAATATATCTAGGGTAAGTGAAAAATAGAGAGTCCTTGTTTGTATGAAAGATTTTTTGGCTAATTTTCTAATACTGCTTATATTTTTAGATTGATAACAATATTAATGGTTCGTTTGAAATTCTACAATCACAACTATACATTTTGAAAATTCTTTCTGCATGTATGACACATCATTGGAAGAAGCATCGTCAATCATTGATAATAGATACAGAAATGAAAAATTCGCAAAATAATGATTCTAATATAAATGAATCACCAATTGAAAGTCACACTTCTTCTTCCTCAACTACTGCTACTACTACTGCATCAACTTCGACCACTCTCACTTTAATCAATCAACCTTACATCAATAATAATAGTAATAGTAATAGTAATAATAATAATGGTGATGGATCTCCAACATCATCGTCGTCGTCGTCGTCATCATCGTCATCGAGGTCACCAAGACATCAAAGATTATTAGAAGATCCTCCGCCTTTAGAAGATGATTTGGCCAGACTTGTTTTAAATGTTCTTTCAAAATTTCTTTATTTAATGGCCGGACAAGAGAATGTAATGGATAATGGTTATGGAACAAACAATTATTCATCACATATTATATATGATACTGTTTGCGAAATATTTAAAAATGCTGGCCGTGTGATATTTTATATAAGTTCGTCTAATTGGGATGTAGTGTTTGCAAAAATCAAGGGTCGAATTGGCAACTTGGCTGCTGCAAATGAAGACAGACCTGAAATCGCCGAACTTAAATTATTGGAATGTTCAAATTTAAACGCCAAAAGATTGTCCAGAATTCTGCAAGGTATTATTTCATCTTGATCTTATTCTTCTTTTATATAAGAATATTATTAACTTTTAATATAATCCCTTAGAACTATGTGGTTCATTCATTCACTTGAGAAAGCAATCACAAATAACACTGGCAACAGTTCTTAGAAAAGCTATTTGGAATTGGATTGAAATATTTCCTAGTGAATTTATATCATTATGTCAAAATCAAAAAAGATTAGAAGGTGGTCCTGAAATTTTATTTGACATATTGCATTCAGCAGCATCTGAAAGTGTAAATCGTAAAACTGCATTTTGGCCATTACAAACTATGCTATTAGTCATTTGTCCTGACATTTTATTTAGTGCTTCTATGTATGAAAGGTCAGATAGTGACAGAACAAATACAATATCTAAAAAAGTAATTTTTAACATAATAAATTTATTTATTCATCTATATATATCATCTACGTATATATTTATTTATTTTTTGTATTCCCAAAAAAATATCAATAATAAAATAATTTATTTAAAAAATAGGTACAATTCTTGGAAACTTTAAAAGTTAGCTTAAAAGGAAAAGCTTTGTCAGACGTTGCTGCTTTATGTTATGTTGATATTTGTAAGGCTTCTACTTATGTTTCCAAGGAAGATATTTCAACGTTTAGAATAATAGTTCCTGATATTGAAAATGATTTAAAAGTTTGTAATCATTTATTTATTTATATTATTTGAACGACATTTATTTTGATTAATTTTTTCATGCTATAATTAATTATTGTTTACATTCGTTAGGATAAATTATTTGATCTATATAGACCATTTCCTGATGAACATAATATCAATCAATCACTTATGACAGATTGCTTAACAGTATTATTCAAATTAAATCCAGAGACTACATTAAACTCTTTAATTCCAATATGTTTACACGTTAATGCCCCTAATGCTTTTAAATTAGTACTTCTCAAGAGTTGCTATTCTATGGCTTTAGAGGTAATTATTTTATTTTTTAAAAATAATACCTTTATATTTATTTGTTTGTTTGTTTGTTATGAAATTCATATCATAGGAACCTCGTTTGCCTTTAAATTCGCAAATGGAAATTATGCATTCGATTCTTGCATCTCCACTTAGAAAACTTTTTCAAGATCTTGTGTCAAATGTAGATGTTAATGGGCGTAGAAATGGAAGAGCTGATAGACACGACGATTTTCTTGAAAGATTAGAAATTATTCAACATATCTTAAATTTATATCGAGCAGATCCTTTGCTTGCAATTGTAGTATGTATAACGAGTGTTTTTCATTTTCAGCATCTATTTTGTTTTTTATTAATTATTATTATTTTATTATTATCATTGCAATATAGGGTAGAAAACCCGATGAAGAAAATCAATCTATTATTTTAGCAATCACCGAATGTATGAATGTTTATAATGATACCATTAAAACTATTGCAGCTGATACTCTTTTACAACTTCATAATGTGAAATTAATTGAACAATGGGGCCCTAAAGAAACCAGGATGCAGCATTTCTGGCACATAAGGTGACTTTTTTAACACGTAGAATTTTAGTGTTAACAATATCACTTATAAACTTATATAAATGTGTACATAATAGTTCACAAATTACTCTTGCAGTTGCAAAACAAATACTCGATTCTAAAGAACGTAACGATAGCACAAAATATATGTTAAACCTTTTACTTCAGCTTTTAAAGTGTCGTAATCAATTTCTCAAGGATCATACGGTATTTGTTCATTTATATAGTTATATTTATGTTTGTTTGGAATATTTCAACATTAAGACAAAACTTGCATTTTTTTTTCTATTTAAAATTTTAGGATGAATTAAATATGCGAATTAACGTTCCAGATAGATTAACATCTAATATAGCTCTTGAAGTTGCTTTGTTAGTTTTGTTGTGTTCTGCTGATTCTGATATTGGCGTCATGGCAATAGGCTGTTTTAATCAATTATGCATCGAGGCTCAACTGACAAATGTCAACGATGTTGTACCACCACAAGAGATGCAAAATTATCAAATGACTATTGTTGAAAACATGGAAGTTTATTTAGAATTATCGTCATCATGTCATGTGACTTCAGGCCGGAATGCCCAACAAAGGCGTATTCGTAAGTTACTAAGAATGATGACTCAACCAACTGCCGGTAATCTCGGTGCTTGGGAGGAGGCCTTAAAAAGATGGAAAGAGTTGACTTTACGAATTGCAAAGTCAGTACTAGATCATAGCGGCTTTGATAATAATGATAGAGGTAAAAAAAGCGGATTTATTGGTGCAGTGTTTGTTTCAAGCAGTGTTCCACCAAGACCATATCCACAACCAGCTGCTCTTATTAATATATCTGGGGTATATAAATAAATATTTATTATTACTGCTATTGCATTTATTTTTAAAAGTCGAATTCTAATTATTATATTTAATTTTAAAGCATCAATTGAATGAATGGACCAATTTTACTGGATTCCTTTCTGCTCTTGGTGGTTGTTGTGTCGACAATAAACTGCTAAATGCCGATTATAATCGTAATAGTGATTTTGTTACTCGCAGAATTTCTTTAGTACAAACTTCTGATTATCATCATATGGTTGAAAAGTTTGTTCAAGACATGGTTGACTTACTTGTTTATGATGTTCCTTCTATAAGAGAAGCTGTGAAAGATACTCTTGGCAACGAATTAAGTCCTAGATTATATATTATACTTTTTCGTAATTTTGAATCCATTGTATCAAGGTTTTTAGAAGATGAAGGTCCTAAGGATCGATATACGTTGTTTGTAGAACAAGGCATCAATGTGATGATATTGATTTTAGATCGTGTCCATGATGCATCTGACAATCTTTATGCATGTGACATTGGCTGGTTGGTTTTATCTTTTGCAAAATATCTAAATAAATTAGGTGCAAATCAATCTTCTTTAAAAATCAAAAAAAGATTGTGTCAACTTGCTGAATCGTTGATGCTAAAGAAAGAATACATAAATTTGCGACAAGAAATTAAATTGCGCAATAAACTTTTAGAAATTATTATTGAATGGACTTCTGACTATTCATTGGTATTTATTTTCTTGATTTGTATTCACATTTGCACTTTAAAAAATTGTATTAACAAAAAATTGTTTTTATAGAAAACAGACGGATCTAATGGTGCAGAAAATAGTAGTAGTGCGCAAAAAATTGAAAAATCACATCGAAGCTTGGATCATTCATGTCTTAAAACAGTTGTAGAATTATTGGCTCAATTACCATTACAACCTCCTGAAACTCATGAGACTGATTTAAGTAAAGGAAAGTCTGGATTATTCAAGAGATATTTTTCATTTTTCATCAAATTGTTAAATAGATGTCGTATTTTAGAGGTAATTAATCATTTATTATTTCAATAGTAAACGTTAATTATGATATCTATTTTGCTACAAGTCCAATTCTAATTTGTTCTTTTTTTTGAAATAGGCAATTGATAGTGGTACTCATTCTGCTAAAAATAATGAAGATTTGCAAATGTTATTGTCTAGGGTAATTTTGCAAAAATTATTTTTTTAGATTTAAGACTTTTAAATTAAATGCTTACTTTATTAATAATATATACAGTCTAAAGAATATGTTAAGGACCTTGGACCATTGAAAGATTATACTATTCTGGCACTCAGCAATCTTTTAAGTGCAAATGTAGAATCTGGTTTAGAAATTTCTTTAACAATGGGCTATCATGAAGATTCTAAGACAAGAACAGCGTTTATGCAGGTTTTAACTAACATTCTAAATCAAGGTGTTGAATTTGACGTTCTGACAGAAAATGCAATGAAAGAACGTTATGAAAGATTAATTGATGTATGAGTTATTCATATTCACATTTTTTATTTAAATGATAATCAGCAAATAAATATTTATTTATAATGATAACATTTTGGGGTTTTTTAATAGATATTTGCTGGTCCGGATTTTGATTTTGCATCATCACTATGTGAAGTTTGTCATAACAATGAACAGGACGAAGTTGCACGTATTATAATCGTAGTTTTTAGTGCCAGGAACAATTTACTACCATTAATGAAAACTATTATTGATCAAGAAGTTATGTCTACAGGTATTTATTCGTCATACTTTTCCCATCTTTGTTTATTCCTTTCCTATTATAATTTTACCAAAAATGTATTTAAAATAATAATATTGTTCCAGAAAATGAACCAAGTTTGTTTAGAGGTAATACAATGACAACTAGACTATTTTTGATGTATTCAAAAACATATTGTTTTGAATACTTGTGTGAAACACTTCAACCTGTACTTAATGAATTGTTGGAAAAACCGGTTGGTTTTAGTTGTGAGATTGATCCTAAAAGACTTCAACATGGTGAAAGTGTTGAAAGAAATATTTTAAATTTAAAAAATACAGCGCAAGCTTTCATTAATGCAATTTGTTCGTCATCTGAAACAATCCCAAGGTAAATTTTTATTTTTGTTGATTTGAATATTATCACTAATATTTATATATATGATTTAAAGATATGTGTATATATATATACACACACTCTTATTTATTCATTTTTTATAGTGAATATAGACACATTTTTAATTATATTTATGAAGCTGTAAGTACAAAGTTCCCCAATGCAAAATTAAAATCGGTTGGTGCCTTTGTGTTTCTGAGATTTTTTAATCCAGCAGTTGTGGCACCAGATTCTGTTAATCTTTGTCGAAAAATTGAAAACAAAAATACTAAAAGGACTTTAGTCTTGGTCACAAGAATAATTCAACATGTTGCCAACAATAATTTGTTTAGTGCGAATGAACCATTTTTGATTGAGATGAATGAGTTTATCAAAAAAAATATTGATGATGTTAATAAGTTTTTACAGGAAATTTCGGTAAATAACCAATTACTTTTTTATTTATTTTGTTAGCTTAAATATAAAATCTATTTATATAAAATAAATATTCATTTATTATATTTTTATTATCTGATGACAATTTTACAGCAAACAAAAGATGCTAATTCAGAATCACCAATGACGGAAAAATCAACTTCTCGCGTGCTGCGCGATTCGGACAGAAAAGCTTTGCACAAGATATTATACGATTGCCAGGAAAGAATGTCAAAAGATTTACAAACAAGAAGGATTAAATCAATTGTGCCTGGATTGTCAACAGATCCTGAACAAATTCAAAATAAGAAAAAATTATGGGATAAATTATCAACTTTGTTGGCACAATTAGGTACACCTCCTGAAACACCAAAAAAAGAATCAAGCTTATATGCATATAATCATCTAGCAAACAATCACTTGTTCACCGAGTTCATGAAAAGGCACTCTAAACGTAATGTCGAGGCCATTTCTTCTAGAAAATTATTTTATGAAGGCGGAATGTCAAAAGTACACATACTCATTCGTTTATTCACATAAAGATATTATATAATTTTTTATATTGTTTAGATCCATTTAACTAATAATAATAATTTTTTATAGGGACAAAGACCTGTATTTTATTATATTGCAAATAGACTTGAAGCTGAAGCTACTGACATTGAACTTTTATTTTATTATATGTTTCGAGTAGGTTTTATGAAATAAATGATTTTTGTGTAAAAAAGAAACGAAGTATATTATATTAATTATTTTTCAAATAGATTACCGAGTCAAAAATCGGAAGACCATTTGATATACTTTTTGATTTGACACAGTTTGGATTAGCTAATGAAATTCAAGCACAATGGGTCCAGCAATTCATTCAGATACTTCCACTTGATGTTGTTGAAAATCTCCATACTTTGTTTTTTTACAATACAAACACTTTATTTAAAAAATATGTCAAGAGAGTGTCATATATCCTTTATTCTATCAAAAGAAAAAAGCCATCATTTATTAGATACATATAATATATATTTTTTTATCCTTAACACTTACACACTACCCCTACATAATAAAATGGCAAAGAGAATAGTATTTTGTTGTTCTTTGAACGAGCTTCATGAATACATTGCACATTCTGAAATTAGATTACCGGAAACGACAAGTAGGAATTATTGTTATTATTGACTTATTTTATTATACAATTAATAATATCAATAATGAATGATAAATATCATATTAGTGCAATTGGATTCCGATATTAGCCTTACATTTACAAATGTAACAAAAGCCAATCCTTACAGAACGTATCACACTGTCACGATAAAGATTAGCAATGAATATCTTCAGATTATAACTGTTAGTATTTCAATTTATAATTTGATATTTTTCTTGTTTTACAATATAATTTATTAATTGTATTTTATTGCTATTTAAGACAAGAAAGCAGGAATTGTTTTCTGGAACATCTTGCCAATTTAATGATGTCTATCATATATCGGAAATTGAAGATATCAGCAATCCAATTCAAAGAAGTTATGATAGCGAATTTATGGTTAAACCAGATCGTGGTAGACCTTCTCTTACTTTTGTTAGCGTAAGAAAAGAACAGATTATGCAGGTAATTTATAAACAATTCTTCCTTCGCTTTTTATTAGCATACAAATGAATGATTTCTTAACTTATTATTTCTACCTATAAATAGGCTTTGAAAGTCTCCAAGGTTAATATTTATAATTATAATAATCATAATCACATACGCTCTCTTGTGCATCTATTTATTTATTAACCAATGTTTTACATCTATCATTTAAAGGCAAGAGATCAATATGCTGGACCTAAAAATAATACTGAAAGAGTGGTTCGTCCAAGCAGTGTTCCAGGGACTTTATTAAATATGTCTCTCTTAAATATAGGAAGTGAGGATCCTAATTTAAGACTTGCAGCTTATAATTTACTTGTTGCTTTAAGTCATATTTTTAATTTTAATATTGGTAATCATTTGTTAAATGCAAAAGGTATTTAAAATAAACACTAGATTGAGTTTTTTTTATAATGAAAAAAGCCAATAATAATAATTATTTTTTATCTAATTAATTTAGGTTTATGTATACCTGCAAACAACACGGGTTTTATTTTACGATTTAGTGAAAAATTAGCATTATCTGATAAAACAATCACGCTTGAATTTTTCAAAGAGTTCTTTGTTGGGTTCGAACATTCATCAACTTCTCAAAAACACTTTTGTTTAGAATACATGGCACCATGGTTACCAAATTTGGCTGTTATTGGTAAAAATTCTTTAGAGAATCAACAAAGAACTAGAGAAATCATTAAAAATTTGATCGAAATGACTACCAAAGAAACAGAAGTATATATATTTAAATTTTATTGTACTTTATCGCAATTATAATACTTAACATCATTCAATCATAATAATTATAATTAAAAATTTTTTAGATGTATAATGCTATTCAATTAAAAGTTTGGTTGACATTAAAAGGTGTAGATGAATTGACAAATTTAATAATCGATGAATTTATTACCTATGCTGTCGAAAATGGAATCAGTTCAATCCAGTCAGAAACTGTTTCAAATACGATTGTCACCTTGTCTTCAGTTAATGTTAGAGGAAAAATTATTGCAAGACTTAGAAAGGTATTATTTATATATCTGTGATTTATGAAAATTTTTTTTCTGTAAATGTTAATTTATATTATCAATATATTTTAGGCAATTGCAAGAACTTCGATTAATCAAACAAGGAATCTGACAGACAATACAGCATGGCCAGAAATAGCAATCTTAATACGGTTCAATTTGATGCTATCCTTTAACAATCGAATACATATTCAGAATTATTTACCAGAGTTATTTCAAGTAATTTCATTGCTCGTTTCAACTGGCCCTCCACTCATCAGAGCATCTGTACACGGTCTAATAGTTAATCTGGTCCAATCATTATGCACTGCCTCTCCACTTGACGAAACCAATAGAAAAAGATTAACTTTGTTATTAACAGAATTATCTGAACCAAATTTCAGGTTTTTCTTTGGATTAAATAATTCACCAGGAAATGCATTTCTAATATCAGCTGAATCTACACACGAATTAACAGATATCATGCCGTTAAGTTCTTTAGAGACTATAGTGCAAGCTCTCTTGGAAGTTATGATATGTGGTGCACCATCTATTGGTAAGTGTATTAATTATACAAAATTCATACAAATACAATTATATGCATTTATACATGTACACATACATAGAAACATTTGTACGCGTTCGCTTACTTTATTATTAATATGATAGATGTTTCAAATGCTTGGAGAGCAAGATGGATGGGGCTTGTAACTAGTACAGCATTTCAGCATAATTTAACAATACAGCCCAGAGCATTTGTAATACTTGGATGCTTAGCGAGAGAAGAAGTAGATGATGATCTTTTGTATCAAATTTTGGTAGCTCTTAAAGGTGCATTGTATAATTTTGTTGAAAATGACTGTCTATTGATAATTAGTATTGTTATGTGTTTGACTAAAATTGTCGAGAATCTTCCAAAGGAGTCAAATTATCTTCGACCAATGTTTTGGCTAGCAATGGCGTTAGTTCAAATTGGTCATATTACAATATTTCCTAGTGCTATCAATCTATTGCAAGTTGTGCTGAGAGCATTAGATCAACATAATCTTTTTACAAATCAAAATTTAGAAACAGTGTTATTAGAATATCGTTCACTATTCAAAACTTTAGCAACTCAAATGGATGCAGAGGCAGGAATAAGCTATGAATATTTTTCATTTGCCGTGGCAGCAGCTTTATTAAAAGGATTAAAAACTCCATCAACAAAAAATATTACACAAGGAGTATTGATTTCATTTTTAAATACGGCATCAAAAGGTGTTGTTTTAACAGAAGGACAACAAAATAACGTGCATTCATGCATATTAGGATATTTGGCAGCCTTGTTGCCTTTATCAGCAAGAAATGGAGATATGAAAGAATTGCTTTGGTTATGTGGGATATTTGATACTGAAATTGATAATTCAGAATTACATTTAACCTACTATAAAGTATTTGACAAGTTGGATATACCAAATCCCGAATCAGCTTTATTGCTAATTTCCTTAATGGTAACAATATTACAACATACTGATGATGAATCAGAAAAATTGTTTTTGTATGGATTTTTGGGTGAAGCTGCTGTCAAGTTTCCTCATATTTTTTCATTAGTGTATCCTTTTGATAACTGATTTATTTATTAATTCATTTAATTAATTATTGATATTAATTTATATTTATTTGTTTCCTTAATGATTATAATGATTTTTACAGCTATGAGATATTACATCCAAAAATGATACAAATTATAACAACCAGCGATACAATACCAGTATTAGACATTGTTCAATCAATATTTTATACTGTCACATCAAAACCTCACTTATATGTTAGAAATCAAAATGTTAATCAATTAATGCATCTTGAATCGTTGGGATTTAAATATCTAACAGATTCAGGATCATTTAATAATTTTTCAAAAGAAAAAATGAAAAATAATGCGAGATTAGCAAGTAAATTGGTTAATGCAATACTTTGAGCATAAACCTAATCCTTCAAGCTAATAATTCATTTATTACTTACACATATATATACACATATTCTATTCAACATCCATATTTATCTATTTATATATTTAAATATAATTATATATATATATTTCATCATTATCATAAATATCCTCTTTATGTAAATTATAATATAGATACTTTTTATTTACTAATTAATTTGTATTATTTTTTTTATCCAAAAAAGATTAAAAATAAAATCTTGCTGATTTTATACTTGTAAATGATTTAATATGATTATTATATGAATATATAATTTTTCTATGGTTTATTATTTTAAATATAAAATCAAACAATATCCACTGATATTTTTTAAAATTTTAATTGATCAAATCAATTAATTGATCAATAAAAATTCCTAATTATAAAATTAATTATTATTTTGTAATTGTTTCAGGATTCGTTAATAAGTGCAACAATCATTCTAAAAAAAAGATGATGATAATAAAATTATTAGTATAATAACAATTATCAATGATCCATAGTATTAATTCGTATTACAAGTTGACAAAATTACCTGTATAAATAATAAAAGAATGTGATTAAATAAAATCCAAGTTTAATGAAACATTCCTTCTTATGTTGATTAAGCGTTCTAAAAATTTCTGTGGCATCATACATGTGACGATTGTTTGTAATTCTTCATATTATAAACGTATATTATTATTAGCATTAATATTAATAATAAATTAATTTTTTTAAAAGCTTTTTTTTAAAAAAAACCTACTTATTAACATTAAATGCTACTAATGGGATATTAATTGAGGCTGCAATCCAACTTCCATTAATCAAAAACAAGAAAAATAAAAATGTATGAACTAAATTTTCTGGCAGTACAAACTAATATAAAATAAAAAGTTTAGTTTTTATTTATAAAAAATAAAAAAAAATAATTATTTTAATAAACCATTCCTTGCCTGATTCAATTTATTACAAAGATCGATTGGATTAATATAATCACATTCAAGATCTGAAAACATGATAGTCTAAGATTGGAATAATAACAATAAAAAATTATTTATCAAGAAGCATTAAGAAAAATAAATGCTGTTATAAATATTTTGATTAATCCTTGATCAAAAAATCATTAAGGATATATCAAAGGATACAAAGAACACCATCATGAATAACAAAACAGCTGCCATAATAGTACCAAAAAGAAAAATTAAAGCTTCTCCCGGCATTTTTGGTTAATCAAATATTAACAAATGAACAATGAAAACTGTGTTTATATTACTAGATTTTTTTTATATAAATTTAAGGATACGGTCTATCATGTGACCTGATCAAAAAAATCATCCTGTCGGGTTTTACAACCTTTTAACTTGAGTTCCATATTTCACTAAATTAGGAATCCCCATTATTTTTTAATTGTAACAAATATTCTTATTATATCTTCACATTTAATTTCATCTAACATTAGAACAAATAGATCTAGCTTTGAATAATGTGATGCGTTTTTATAAAGTTTTACACATTTCGCACGTTGTATGTTAAAAATAAATAATTCGTCGTTTTACTCATCGAAACATTATAAAAGAAATTTTGATTGATAGAATATATTTTATTTTAAAGATTACTATCATTCTATTTGGTTATTCAAAACGGACAATAATAATTTCATGCCAAATAAAAATTTTTTTTTCAATAAATTGTAGGTTACTATTTAATTTTAGGTATTCGAATAAATTGTTTACGAAACAAGATGAATAAAGCGACTAAATTGAATCTTAATTTGCACGTCGGTATTAGAAATTCCAGCAGCAACAATAATAGTGGTACTAACACGTTTCAGACATTAGATAATATATAAACATATTTCTTTATTATATTAATGATAAATAATTAAATCATTATATTTTATTTTCTTTTACAATGTCATTTACATAATAATAAGGCATACAAACTTTGCATTTAGTATTAATCAATTAATTATTTTTAAAAAAAGGATTGTGGCCAAACAAATCTGTTACCAGAAAATATCAGAAAAGAATTGTTGCTATGCGTAGGGATGCGATCCGTGGATGATCAATCCGGATATCCGTAAAACAATCCGGATGGACGGATAGCTTTTTTAAAATGCTAACGGATTGCGGATTGAAATTTCTTTTTGTAACTTTTTATTAATACTAATACTAATATTGCTGAAATATCCGTTCAAACCGCAGATAATCCATACAATCCGGATGATCCGTTCAATTTTACGGATAATCCGGATTATCCGTTTAAATCCGACGGATGTATTTTTTGAGCAATTAACGGGCGGACGGATTGATTTTTAGTATTAGAGATAAATGACGGAAGCATGGTAGAAATTTGCACATCTCACAATGCAGATCATTACTTGTGATAAAATTGAGTCTTAGTAAATACAATAGTAATTTAGTGATTTTTAGGCATCTTATACAAACCATCATAATCAAAAGACTTTATAATGTTCTTTGCCTTTCTTTCTATTATTTTCTCAATTCGAATCCGTTTGATAAATGATTTGGGTAACAGTCAAACGAAGTGTAATTACATATATAAAATAGAGAATCCGACTTGTGTAACAAATCAGTTTTTTAAAATCTCATTATTTTTATAACAAATTCAAACATTATTATTAATCAAAAATAAAACTATGACATTATAGCTTTCTAAAGACTCTCTCCCATATTGATAGAGGCTCTCTTTGTTAAGCTATGTTTATTCAAAAACAGCATTACTTTTTATTTCAAAGCTAAGATTTTTTACCAATATTACCTTTATA